GAGTAATATAATTAAGTTCATTTCCCTAAGTCGAGTCTGTTTTGCCTTGACCGCAACCCATTTTCCCCATCCTCCTGTACTGCTGAGGTGGGGAAGGAGGTAGAGAAATCATGAGTAAAGATAAGCCAGGGAAGAAGGGATGGGTGGGGGAAGGTGTTTTAAGATTTGGGTTTATTTCTCATTTATTACCAGTCAAATCAGAGTAATATAATTAAGTTCATTTCCCTAAGTCGAGTCTGTTTTGCCTGTGACAGTAATTGCTGAGTGATCTGTCCCTGTCCTCACGTTGATGCACGAGCTTTTCACTGTATCTTCTCTCCTCCGTCCAGCTGAGGAAAGGGAATGATACAGTGGCTTTGGTGGACACCTGGCATCCAGCCAGGGTCAACGCACCACAATCAGTGTACTACCCACACTAGAAAACCAATCCAGTTCCCCTTTTTTATATATACAAAGTGTAAGAGGTCACCAGGCAGCAAGAAGTGATTCAAATGTCTTTTCTAGAGACTAGTCTCCTCCTAGAACAAGAAAGATGATGAGCTTCAGTTACAAGGAAAAAGTCTTCCACAATCCTGTCTATTTCCTTGGCCTTGTGACCTGCCATACATTGGGCACTTCATGGCAAGTTTCCCCATTCACAACAGTACTGGATTCTTAAAGTACTTTACTTGGCCAGGGGTAGGGGAGTGCTACTTTTTTATAGCTCCAGCATCTTGTTCGTTTTTCATAGCAACTGTGCTCCTACAGCATGGAAAAAGTTAAGGTTGCGTAGTACAATACTGCACTTCACTAGATACCAAGTCAAACAAAATTCATGGTTAAATTAATACTTAATGAAGACAGGAAGTGTGCTATTCTGATCTCAAGACTGCTTGGCTCCAACTCTTTAAAGGCCTAACATCTTTGAATCATGCAGAAGAGCAACCTATAGTCAGATAAAGCTAACATACATGTAATTCTCACTGAACTGCTTCATTTTTGAGTTTAGATTCAGGACCATGCAATCTTAGCACCACACATCAGTTTTCAGAAGGCAGAGTTCTGTAGAAGTCCATTCTGGAAGAACGGAACTCAGTAATAATTTATTTTCATTTTTAAATAATTAAATTTATATTAATTTAAATTTAAGGGAGAGGGTCCCTATCATTTAATAAAAAGAGGGTCAATTTGCTTCCAACCAAATATTTCCATGTTTTGATACTACTATTGCATTTCGCTTGTATCTATGTAATAAAAGTAGTAACAGTAATTTTATGTGCCCATATGCCTAGATACAACTGCTACTACACAAGGTCAACTTCAATCTGTCCCAGAAGATGTTTCTACTTGGGCTAAGAGAAGAAAGGATCAGAAGACAGAAAAGAGCTTCTAGTATAAATTTACTGTTTAGCGCAGTTGCATATAATAATGCAGTTTTCAAAATAATCTTGTCTTTGTATCCTCGCAGAGACTACTTTCTGAGATCTTCTAGGATTTTTTTTCTGATGTTAGCTATAGCCTTTACGCATACAACTGTTTGGTTTTTATATATTAAAAACAGCTACCTGCCTGTGTCCTGGAGGAGATAAAAGCTTCATAACTATGTAAACACCATATTTAACCAGCACCTACTTCTACAAAGAAATCACAGAATGCATGTGCAAATATCCAAGTTTTAATGTCCTCTTCAGAGTCAGCTAAACTTTCTCCCCTTGCAATAGTCTTTCATTATACATGCACAAACTGTTCTATATAAAATAGGAACCAATTACATAGGGGAAAAAATACAGGATTTCCACTGTAATTAATCAGTCTTTATCAGCACCATAAATATGTTTAGAATAGTAACTATTTGGAAAAAGTTTATGTATTACAAGAACCGTGAAGGGTTTTTTGGGGGCATGCCCTAAAGCATTTCTGCATCATGTGCTTTAGGATTACTTTCAGGAATAGGGTACTACGTGTTTTTCTAATTCTCATTATTTTAAAAGTTTATCAATCTTGCATTCAAACCAGAATCACACTGACTCAGAAGAAAGCACACCGGATATGAAAAGTTACATTTTCCAAGGCAGGTTACTGCAGGGCGTATTCATTAGGTCAAGTGTGCCATAAAGCTGATCATTAGTTTGCTTCTTCAGGAGAAGTAAAGGTTGTTCCATTAGAGCAGACACTGGTTAATAATACCACTGGTACACCCAGTTCAACCCAACGCACAGTCATTTTGTGTGTCAGGCACTGACTGCCACGTGTCTGGCAACAGGTAGATAGGTAGTAAAATCCATCACACCATGTTAGGCCTTAGTAAACACACACTCCTTTTCTTCCTGCATCTTGTCTACTGATATTGTGGCAACAATAGATATTTCCACTTGTTTCAGTAGATCCAAATTCCACATTTTAATCTTATTTTTTTTACCCATAGCCAAGTGTTTTGAATGAATTTACAGAGTATGTTTCAGATTTCCCAGCAGCTACACGCAGGCTGTTGTGATCATCATAGGTCCATCCCAGACTCATTCCAGTCCTCTTGCAGGACTATGTGCCCCTGCTGCCCACCAGTTGTTGTGGGAGAGTTGAATTCATTAGGTTAATGAACCCTGAGACACCCTTTATATAAATTCAGAACGAGTTACAAGTCAACGCACTAAAAGTCCATCATGTAAAATAGTTAATAAATATTGAAGTATCATTTCTGCCAAAGGAGTATCATCTCCTTTCAGAAGTAAAGTGAATGTCGTTTACTCAAATCCCACTTTTGTTTTGTTTAGAAAAGGGAAACTACAAACAGTCCTCTGCACATTCCAGTTTCTCCTTAATACATATGAGTACCTCTATACACTAAAAGTTCGTGAACTGCAGACTAGAGATGAACAAATACTTTTCAATACTAAACCAAAACAAAACCACAAAAACCCTAAGCCTAAAAACTTCCCTAAAAGTACTGACTATTTGGTGAGAAAAAGGAAAGCAAATCCCAGCAAGTCCAGAGAAGTAGCCACCAACTGGCTTTGTCAGGTGCTTTCTCCTGCGAGCCCTCACTACCTACTCAAGCTCCAGCTTTTACACGAGTATCATATCATTAACTCAAGGAATTTACTGCAGGTTTGTGCTATGAAACCAGTGCAAATAAGTTCAAGTTTGACCGTATTTTGATAAGATACAATCATTAAAATACTGGTTGAAGAAACTGCATAGTTTGTATTCTTGTCACAAAAACTAGTGTCCTGAAACTAGACTTTTTAACAAGGATGTTACAACAGCCAAGATAACTCAACTTATAATTAACTTGTCTAAGAACACCTTACATAAAAGGTAAAACCTGCCTTGAACTCCTATGGGACAGCACATGCAGGCACAGGGCAGTACAGATACACCCAAACAGCACTCTACCCTATTACATGTGATATTCTATGCTTCACTTTTCCAAGCTAAAAACCTTGAAAGGCTAAAGTCCTCATTTTGCTACTAGAAAAAGAAAAAAATTAGGGGTGACGTAGTAACGTAGACTGCAAAACTGCCCCCTCTGCCCTCTGCAGCAATCCAGAATCTCATCACAGCTACCGCCATGACAGAAATTCTGTAAAGCACCAAAGTGTCTGTCATCAGGTGTAGCAGAGGCGTTCAGTCTGACTAACACCTACCTGAAAGAAAAAAAAAAAAAAATTGTAAGAGGTAGATTTCCCCCGCTTTTGTTACCAAGCCTTTTTTAGCCAATCACACTAGATAGCACATACTGTTTAACTTCTGAACTTCTACAACTGAACTGGCCTACAAGGGGCTCCCAAAATCACTTTTTCTTGTTGTAAGCCTTGTTAGAGAAAGCAATCAGGATGCAACACACCACCACCCATTTTTATGTGCAGCTTATTCCCCATAGCAGCTGACAACACAGCAGCTCATATATTTCACTCCAAGGCATCATGAAGTGAGGGTTGATGCATTTAGGTTGATGCTGGTCATGAAGCAACATGAATTTCAACATTAAATCCTGATACAGCAACATAAGATTGTGCACAGAACTACTCTATAAACGCACTCTCTCTCCCACAGGCACACAAAAGCTTTATTTCCAGGACAAGCAAGAAAAGGGTGAATAGGATCAACCAGACACTGTCCCTTCTAACGTAAGAACTACGGGCCAAACAAAGCAACTGAGGAGCCAGGTTCAAAACAAACAAAAGGGAACAGGTCTTCACACAGCAAGCAGTAAACCTGCAGAATACAAAGTCCTTTGCCAAGGAGGCTACAAAAGGACTTACACAGGTTCAAGGGAATGTTAGAGAAATACTTCAAAGAAATCTAGTTAGATTTACTGAATACACAAGCACTGTAGGTTGAGGGAGGGAAGCAGACAGGCAGGACTTGAACTTATAGCTCTATCATGTACCAAAAGCACGTGGCTTTAGCCATAGTGCCATAGGGCAACAGAGAAAAGGGCTGGAGGACTGTTGGTCTGAAACAGCGCAATTGTTCTGTGTTCACACCCTTGAGTTTGCCCCTTCTAAAGATGCTTCCCAGACTCTACTACAACTGATCAGTAGTTGCACCTTTAGTGGAACTAGACACCTGTTCTTCTAGGACTCAAAAAATATAATTTTTTAAAATTCTTAAACTAATAAGATACTAACAATTGTAGCAGGGCTCCTCAGCAATCCATATTAACCTACTTCCATTTTGAAAGCCTTTCTTGTCTTTCTATGCAAAACCTCTCATGTTTAAGTATTTTAAGCTTAGCCTACAGGTAACTTAATCATGGTAAACATCATTTCAAGAATCTGGATCTAATCTTAAGCTCTTAAATCACTACTTCAGAATTAAAGTGCTCTTCAGAAGTGTCATTAAGAGATTTGGGACCACAGTTCTTCTGATCTTTACAGGACCTGTACTTCTAAGTTGAAAGTCTTCTTCCAAGCTTAAAATCTATGTTCCCTTAAATACCAAGATGTAGCTACTCATTCATAACTACAGTAATCCACAGTTTCATTACTGTCCCAGTCATTTCAAGTCAGGTGACCTACCGAATGTTTTCCAGCGCACTTGTTAGCTGTTGTTGTGCAATATCATAAAGTTTCACTTTGAAGCCTCCAGCAGCAAACAACATGGCCCAGCTGCGACCAATAAGTCCACTGAAAAGAAAATAAATATCAGCCAATTAATAAAGAAGCATTTGTTTTGGGGAAGGGGGTCTGATGAGCATCGCAAGAAGGAAAATGGAGCTTGGACCTTCAATATTTGTTGAAAAGATCGGTTACATATCAATAAGAAACAAATCCCTCTCTAACAGAGTAATATCCTTTGCTAGCTGTGTAGCAGCTTCCCTGAGAGCTGGAAGAAAGCTAATGAGGAAGAAAAAGAGGAAACAGAAAAAAAGACAGCAGAATTCAAAACAGTAGTTCCCAATATTTTGGGACACTGGACTCAAGTATGAACAGTTTAATCTTAACGAGCAGTTGGTGCAAGTAATTAAAGAGGGTTGTTTTGTTGGGTTTCTTTAATTTTAAAATGCATCTGCTCAGTTCATAGTCTAAAGACAGACATCAGCCCACTGGTCAAAAAGTTCAGGATCCTGCTTCAGAGATGATCAGAAAACCTAAGGCCCAGCTACCAACATCATGGGTCCTGTACAATTCAGGAAGTACCACAAGCATGTGAAAAGGGAAAAAAAAAACAAAACCCACAAACATGGGTTTGATACTGCTTTTCCACCTACCAGGCCCTAGCACCACCCTTATCTTTAGACCAAGCACCCTACCATGCTGTAGGCGTGCAGGAACAGTCTGCCTACATCTTTTGGTGAAGTCACATTACAGAGAAATACATAGAGGAAACTTGCAGTAAGTGACAATTCTATCACATCTCTTAACACAGGTTTTAACTTAATTAGATTTATAGCAGGCATCAGCCTCTTCAAATGGAAGCACTGAAGAACAGTGTAGTGAGTTTAAATAACCAGAGATCACCAAAAAAAAAAAAAAAATCTCCACAACAGAGAGAAGAACAGAACTCCATGTCCATGACTTAGTGGGGGGTTTGATAATTAAATGCATTTCCTGTCATTTCCAAGATCACTGAATTTGTAGCATTAAACTTGAGCAACCTCAGGCAACTGGAAAACACAAGGCTGCTAGGGCATCAGTAAAGAATTAAAAGGGGAGTAAGAGTCAGAGATAAAGTAACAGGCCAGATGAGAAAAGAAGGCAAAGAAAACAGGAACATGTTTAGCCTTTGGCTTAAATGTAAAAAAAAAAAAAAAAAAAAAA